TTTGTGACCCGTCGCTCCTTTGTTGCTTTTTATCTGCTCGCTCTCGCACCAGCTTCTGCCCAGGCGTCCAGTGATGCATCCGCTACTGTGGTCTGCCAGCTTCAATTTCTTCTCAGTCCCTCCAAGAAGTCTCCCAACGCGTTCCAGCCCTCATAGAATATTGCACCGACGCTTAGGCTTGGGCTTGGAGCCCGCAGAGATGCCCTCGCGTTGTTCCCGAATGCTAGAGAAGAAAGGGCAACGAGCGTGAGACAATTTTCGTGTAGGCGCACCTTTTGCTTCCCTACTCACTGGCGAACGACTGTGTAGTACGCCCGTTCCACATTCACGGATGTCTTTGCGCTTGATTCCACAAATTTGCAGCCCAGCCTGTTTGCAAGGGCTTGCCCCTCATCGCGCGACACCTGCCATAAGATGCATCGCAGACACGACTGAGCCATGTCTCGATAACGGCGCTCCAAACATGCGGATCTCACCTCTCTTTCTGTGACCTTATCGCACTTGTTGCCAACCAGCATGATCGGCACTGCGTGTGGCTCCTGATCCTTGACCCTTGAAATTTGATTCCTGAACCGCTCTACACGCTCGAAAGTTGCCCGTGCTGCGATCGAGTACACCAACAGAAAGCCTTCGCCTTCTCTGATCCATTGATCCCTCAAAGCAGTGTACTCCTCTGCGCCGGAATGGGCAGTGCATCATCGCATCAGCAAGAAGACACTTGTCGATGCTGATGAACGCTTTGAAGGTCACGCACCTTGACCAGCAGTATCCAGCACCTCCAGCATACAAGGCTGGTCATCAATGACTGTCTGCTTGCGATATGAGTCCTCGATTGTTGGATCGTATGTCTGTGAAACGATTGCACAAGACAGGAGGTGGCGCTGGCCCAATCAGTGTCCGCCGGGCACAAGATGGCTCATGCGCACGTCACGCACCTCAACAAAGTGGTTGAGGCATAGCTGAGCCGAGACGGGGAGAGTGTGGAAGTCGTGGAAGTCAATTTTGAGGTCGTGGCAAGGTCAGGCAAGCCTTGCGAATCACATGACTGGACTGGCCACCGGCACGCGCTGGAGACGGGCGCGAGGCCGCCATATCGACAGGCTAACGACGCCACCCGCACGATTCTTCGCTAGAGTGCGGAAGCAATCTCAACTCACTTGTATGGTCAAGGCAGTCTTTCCCACTCCTCCATCTCCCAGCACCACCAGTTTGTAGATCATCATCTTGCCGCTCGCAGCACTCATACTGGGCAACCTTGTGTGTGTATGTGTGTGGGTGTTTTGCGTTTACCAATAAGGCAGTCGCCGGTAGTCTTGCAGGCCAAGCTTGACTACAAAGCGCCGAAGATGTAGAACAGTAGCAGGCGGAATGTGGACTTTGATAACGCGATGAAAATGTCCAAGCAGATGCCGAAGTGCGAGACGAGATCGCTCAGTCACGACTCGTGACTGTCCGTGCTGATCGCGGGGGAGAGAGGATGCGGGAAGTCAGAACGTCACTGCTGTGTGCGATGGTACGCGGGATGACTGGACGCGAGAAGCTATAGCGAGAAGACGTGGAGAGCAAAGCAAGCGCGCAAGACGGCAGATGCTTGTGTGCGTCTCCGCGACCAGGTGTTTGGTCGAGGTCAAGTGTGAGTGATGCGCTGTGAATCGCCCAATGAAAACGAGTCGTCGGACATGCTACGCGCGCGCTGCATGTCCAGCAGTGAGCGAGCCAAGGAAAAGCTTGACTTGATCCGCTGATGTGTAGCAGCAGCGGCATATAGTAGTGACGTGTGTGTAGGCGCGAGGCGCGGCCGGGGCGATGAACCGCACGAGCCCCGCTCGACATGCGCCCGCACACATGCAGCGTCGGCACCCAGCATATCCACGCAACTATTTGGCGAGCGCGGGTGGACATATCAGCAGCCGGAGTGTCCACCGCGATTGATAGACGACTCTGACAGCTAACGTGAGACCGCCGAACCCGCACGATTCACCCGAGTCAAAGCTCAGATTTGAGAGCTACTCTGCCGCGGTCCCAATTGAGCGTCTGGGTGCTGCAGGGACAATACTCGACCACGACTCATGCTGCTGAGGATGTCTACGCGGCTATAGGCGCCAGGCGAAGTCGTGAGCGCCTATAATCCTCGCAGCATGGATGGCGCTCGTGCCTCCCTCCGCCAAAGCGACTGAATGCGCAAGCAACGTCCACGAATGAGGTCTTGATCGCGCGACAGCAGACACACAATCAGAATGTGAACTGAGTGATACTGCTCCCTGAGACCTCCTTTCCCATCTCTCTTCTCGTAGTACGAGGCCATCCCATGACCACACGTACGATGTTCGCGTTGCAGTTCAACCAAAAGTTGCTATACCGCCCGCAATTCACGCGATCTAAGCTGGTCGTAATGACAGGACTACCGCGATGCACTTCCCTCGCACTGAGCCGCAGCGTGATCGCACCTGAAACTGCCGACATGGCAATCGTGAACGAACGCGCCAAAGCGGTCGAAGTCCTTTTTTCCCGAACGCAACGTCTCATCAGAAGGCTGAGCAGTACGATCGTCAGGAACATTCAGAAGCCATGGTCACCGCCGCTACCCGGCTACGTGCGACGCTGGTGCCTGAGGATGCAATGAAGCGAGACAGGGAAGGGGGGGCAAAGCGGACCGACGACTCACCCCAGTTACAATGCAGTGACCACAGAGGTGAAGCTCGATCGTATCAAAGGTTGCCGAAGGGTGATTTGCGTGGCGCCCGAGCAGTAGGGACGTGGCGAGAAGGCTGAGGATTCACTCGTGGCGCGCGAAGGAGCTTGTGCAGCAAGTCTCGTGATGGGCGGGCGACCTTGGCAAGGTGACTGAATAGTCAGCGCTCGTCTCGTCGCGCTCCTCACGGCAAAGAGCTGTCTGCTTCGCTGCAGCCTGAAGAGAGAAAAGTGGCGAGGGAAATGCCACTCCGAACTTGGCCCGAAATGGATGACGCGAATGAGACGCGGATGCAGCGCGAATGGCAGTTGGAGGTAAAGGTGGAAGCGAATGCGATCGAGACGATCACCTCGCGCTATGTGGAGACCTCTGCGCGATAGAGCGATGCGTAGATTGGCGAACAGGCGGATGAACCTTGCGAGCTGGCGTTGGAAGGGTCAGCGAGGTGCAACGAAACAACCTATCGTAAGAGCGTGTTGACTGAAGCTAATGTTGGGCGGTCGGATGGTGAAGGAGTGGTATATGGAAGACGGCGTCAGAACGAGGGTGGAAGCGGTCTGTGAGAGTTGGGGATGGGGTGGTCTCTCACAGGAATCGAATGACGGATGCAGAAGCGCATTACACAGTAGTCACACACCCATGACAAGCAGTTGTGAGCGAGCCAAGTCTTGTGCTGGTGGGAAACACCCGCGAGAAGCGCAGTTGTGTGCGTCACTCAAGCTGCAGCCAGCACCTCTGTCTGGCTGTGGCTGCTTGCTGCTGGCTGCTGGTGCTGTTGCAGCCCCGAATATCACGCGCACAGCGACAGCCAGATCCACAAAGAC